TGCTAGAGTCAGAGGGAGCTCAGATAAGTCTTGTGCTAACACCTGGCCAAAAAAGCGGGGGCTGTCCCAAAATCCCTGGGGCAAACTGTCCAAGTAAGTTGTTGGGAACAGCGCATGTCAGGATCAGTTCCAAGTGAAATGAACAGTTTTTGGCAAGGTGGGTATAAGGGGATAGAAAAAAATGCATCTTTGAGGTCAAGAAACAATTGGGGTTATGGGTAACATGGCCACATTAATGGCCCTGAGGTCTTGAACTAAATGGTATGAGCCATTAGGCTTTATAACTGGAAGGATGGGTATATTAAAAGGTGAGTGGGTAGGCCATAAGAGATGAGAAGGAGTTTGTGTATGATAGGTTTTAAGCCTCTTAGGTATTTGTTAGCGAGGGGGTATTGTGGGACATTAGGGAACAAAGAGGGGTTCTGCAACTTAACAAGGATAGGTGAATGGTGCATAGCAATGGAGGGAGAAGAAGTGTCTCCTACTATGGGATTAACCTTGTCCAAGGGGGAGGAGAAGGTGGAAGCCTCAGGGGCCAGGTCTGGGGCGACCTGTAACCAGGAGTATTGTAGCTGGAGTTAAAGTGTTTAGGGTTAGAGTAGCTTTGAATTTGAAAAGAATGTCCTATCACAGTAAGGTGGCTGGGCATTGAGGCATTATTAAAAATTTGTGTGTGAATTGGGTGTGATGTAGGGTGCAGGAAAGGAGTTGAGTGATCCCTGGGTGGTATTCTGATCCCATGACCCCTACTATTGTGATTAAAGGATGGGGTTGTTGGTACTGCATATTCCAGAAAGGTAGTGTAAGTGGCCCCTGTTCAGAAAGAGATCAGCTTACCTGCTATGAGGAGAGTTACCCTAGACTCATGTGTGGTGATTTCTGTGGGGGCCTCAGGCCCTGGGCATCATCAGTCCTTCTCCTGGGCAAAGCCAAGAAGCTCTGGTAGGGGTGGCCGTGAAGCCAAAGGCTGTGGGTTGGGGACTGGGCCACTCCCTCTCTGGCAAGCGGAACAGTCAACCCCCCAGTGACCTGCCTGTTTGCAGTGAGGACAGGGTCTGGGAGGGAGCCAGGGGTTAGGACAGAGCCGTACCCAGTGGCCCGGTTGACTGCATTTGAAGCAGTTCCCTGGTGGCTTGCCCCTAGAGGCAGCCAGCTTTGGGGTATGTGAACCATGGATAGCATTATCCAGGAACTGGTATTTGACCTGATCTCTTGTAACGATCTTTCTTCTCCTCCTCCTCTCTATTGTTAAAAACCTTGAAAGCTGCATTGAGGAGGTCTTGTTGGGTGGTATTTGGACCATCCTCAAGTTTTTTTTAGTTTTTTCGAATGTCAGAGGCTGATTGGGTAAAAAATGAGAGTGTAAGAGGGCCATGCCTACAGGGGAGTTTGGGTCTATATGTGTGTATTTATGTAAAGCCTCAGAGAAGCAGGTTAGGAACTCACTGAGATTTTCAGTGGATCTCGGTGTGATTTTGCTAAGTTTGTCATAATTGACCAACTTGTGAGTAGCCTTTTGGAGGCCATAAATCAAGTGTGTGATCATGTTATCCCAGAGATTCTGATCCCCGTTGCCAGCCTGGTAGTCCCAATTTGGGTCCATGCAAGGTACAGCAACGGCTTCCACCGGCCACCTGTTATTTTGAGCCTGTATCTCATCTGCCTGTTGTTGGGCCGTTATCCAGACCCGTTCCCTGTCCTCAGCGGACAAAGTAGTAGTGAGAATCATAAAGATATCATGCCAGGTGAGATCATAAGACTGGGTGAGATATCTGAATTCCTTAAGGTATGTGTCCAGGTTGGACTGGAAAGATCACAGTCATTTTTCAATTTGGGAGAGATCAAAAAGAGAAAAGGGGATATGGACCCAGACAATTCCCTCCATCCCAGCCACCTCATGGAGGGGATATAAAGGAGCCGGAGCTGAGGTGGAGTTGCTACCTGACGAAGGGGGAGAGGGAGAGAGGTTAGGTGGCTGAGGACGAGCATCTCGAGGCCAGGCAGGAGGAAGAGAGGGAAAAGGTGAAGGGGCTGGTGAAGGATCTAGAGCATAAGGAGGTGGTTGGGGAGCAGAGTGATCTGACAGATCAAAAGGTTGATCCGAGTTCGGAAGGGGAGGTCAGGCATTAGCTAGGAGAATTTGAGACATAGGACAGTTTTGACAGAGAGAAGGACACGTTTGGAGATAGAAGAAGGCTTGAACATAAGGAATCTCTCCAGCCTTGCCCTTTCAGTGACAAAAATTGTTCAAATCTCTAAGAGTATCTAAATTGAGACTGCCATCTTCTGGCCACTGGGATCCATTGTCTAGTTTGTACTTAGGCCAAACCTGATTGTAAAATGAGGTGTTCAGGTTTAATATCTCCCTGAAAGCCAAGAGGTTGGCAAGGAGACAGCCTGGAGGCGTAGAGTGCGGATTACAGTAGAAAATTAGACATTTAGGTTTAATGTCTCCCTGCGGGCCCGGGGGTAAATTGGCCAGGAGACAGCCCAAAGGCATAGAGAGTGGAGGTTTGGATTGTGAGGATCCCATTTATAGGGTGAGAAATGGGGTGATCAGTCCCAGTAGAAGGAGAGTAACACCAAGGAGTGTCCTCTTTGGTGCATGTCTTCTTTTTGAGAGAGGAGCCACCGCCCAGCTACAGGAGCGTCCTCCGATAGCTAGGGGGCACAAGAGGGGTTCCCTTGGCCAGGCACTTGGGCTTGATAGTGAGTAGACAGTAGTCATAGAGAGTAGTTGGGGGAACCCATAGAAATAGGACAGACCCATTGACTCACCCTGAATTGAGGTCGATGTTGGATGCATTGTCCTGAAACAGCAAAAGGAGATAGTCCCAAATGTATCTGGTTTGGCACGTCCAGGAATGGCGGCTGGGGGGGCAATCAACCCAAGAAGGTATCCTCCAAAAGTCCCGGCCAGGACCCTTCCGAGGTTTTGGCACCAAAATGAAAGAAAGTAAGGCGAAACGCCGGATACCGATCAAGCTTTATTAAAGAAAAAGAATCTGCCAGGCTGAGTTCAAAACGGAGGGCAGCCAGGGCTGCCGTCAAAATGGAGGACAGCAGCCGGCCTGGGGGTGGGAGAGCTTATATAGACCATAGGGCATCAAGGGCTGGCTGAAGCAATCAAGGGAGGGGCATTGCACCCATCCAGAAGCAAAAAGAGTTTCTTTTTTTTTTTTTTTCCTTTTTGTCTTTTTTTACTGACCGGTAACGGGATCGCAACCCTCAGTTTCGCGCCCATACCGGGGACCGGCAACGGGATCGCAACCCTCGGCGTTGCACCCGCACCGCGCTCAGCCAGTGAGCGGGAACCAGTCTCCACATGGGATCCGAACCCTCGGCGGGAGCACCGCTGCACTCCCAAGCGGCGCACTCTCCAGTGCGCCACCGGGCCGGCTCTTTTTTTGTTTTTGTTTTTTTTTTCAGAAGCAAAAAGAGTTTCTATTTTGCAGAAGTCACGAGGCTTCTCGTAAAGGGAAGCGGGGAGGGGTTGGGGGCCATTTTGTGCTTGGCCTTGCCTAAAATGGCACTGTTTATGTTCAAGGTCCATTATAAATCATCGTTTAGCCTAGCACTATTGTATGCACATTACCTTCCATTTCACACTAACATTCTTTTCTGAGTGGGGTAACATCTGGCTGATTCCAGAAGTAGTTCCTAGGATAATGTCACTTTGATCCATCTTCAAGTTTCTCTGGGTGACACCTTTGTCCATGCAATATTTTGAAATCCTTTTGAATTTGTTTAGTTAATACAACTTTCCTTTTTAAAGATATGACTTTGTTACCACATCATATGCTGAAGGAAAAGGGAAGATTAGAGTGTCTTTTTAGTAGTAAAAACCTGTCAATCATATGTTACTCTGAAATCAATAGATTGTCTATGTGTTGACACTTTGTTTGCAACTTGTCTTTTTTTACTCATGATTGCTATCTGATTTACATTTCAAAATACTGTTATATCTGCTTCCGTTTTTGCTTTCTTTCTTTTTTTTTTTTTTTTCTGGAAGGCTAATTCTTAATGTAAAAGGTAATTCTCAGTTTAAAAACCAAAATCTTCTTTTGGTGTTTTGCAAGACAATCTGATGAGAAAAGTGGTCTTGAAGATGTTTAACTCGTTTTTATGAGTAGTTTCCCAGAATTTGATCAAAGACTTAAAAAGGATCTGCTTTGGAGGAAAAGGGATGTCACAAGGATACAAAGTTACTGAAATCTGTTATAAATAGTATTTTTCAGAAGGTTAAAAATAAGGAATGATAGTTCTTTATGAAAGGAGGGGGAATTAAGAGGCCCAGGATATAAAAAATAAAACTGGTACAGGATATAAAGAGAATGATCTTTTATAGACAGAGTAAGTTATTTGGAGTAAAAAAAAAGTGTGAAGTTATAAAGGATGAAGAATTAGAAAGATGATAAAGGAAAAATGAGGAAAATGGAACAGGAAAGGAATTAGCCTGTCAATCTAAATGCTTTTTAAAATGCACTTTGGTAAAAAGGAAGAACTCTGTAGATGGACCACCCCCATAGAATGCTTGTGTCGTTGTTATTAAGCACTTCATTAGTACTTTTGTGGTTATGTCATTGAAGCTCCGTTGGTGGTTAGTACAGTGCCTTTGTCTGTAGAATATACTGGTTATTGAATGGATGTTGAAAGTGATCTGAACTTTGAAATTTAAATACTTGAAATTTGTTTAATCAATGCAATGACAACATAATTTTCTTGATTTAGAATATTTTTTTGAAATTGGTGATTTGTCTTTGTTCTCATAAGAAACATATTTAAAACACTTTTTGTTACTCATAATAGGAACTTGGGTTTTCTTTAAAGTTGAGTATGAGTATTTTGGCTGTAGAAGCCAGATGGATACACCTGTGTGTACATGCCTGATGAGTATAGTAAATTTTTGCCCAAGTTTGAAGTGGAGAAGCATCTTCCTTCTTTGTAAAACCTGAAGTAGCATGTTCTTAATACACTTGTGATCCTTCTGTCTTATTCAGGAAAGCAGTGCTTCTTAGTCCTACGTCAGCAGCAGTTTAATGTCCAGGCTCTTGTGGCGGTGGGAGACCATGCAAGCAAGCAGATGGTTAAATTTGCTGCCAAGTAAGTAAGCAATTATATCCTGTTGTCAGAATAAACAATGGTGGGAACCAAGACTCCCAGGGGTTTGGACCATTTTCATACATTAACATCAATGCTTCGTTTGTTTAAAAATGTAGTTATTTAAATTGTCAGTTCAGTGTTGCTGAATACATTAAACTCACAAAAGAGAAAATGTGGAGCACAGGCTTGAAATTCATTTGGAACTGCTGAAGCAGCATTCTCTACAGACAAGTCACATTTACTTTCAAGTGGAGTAACAAAAAGCCTGGCAGCCTCAACACAGTAGAGCGACTTTATTTTGTTGTGTTTGTTGAGCTTCATTTCCTCCCTCCCTCACTCAGTTTGAAATTTGCATATTGAGCAACAAGTTTTCTGAGTAATAAGAGTATATAAAATAAAAGTGCTCAGTGTATAAAATAAAAAAGTGTAGTTTTGCAAATTATTCCCTCTGTAAGGAAGTAAAACAAATGTTATAACCTGTAATAACTTTTAACTATGATTCCTAAAGGGTTTAGGAAAAAAAAGGTAAAACTTGCTTTGCCCTCAATAAAAAAGGTAAATCTTGCTGTCTGGCTCAGAGTTCCTGTAGAAGCGTGTTGTTTTGTTCAGCTTGCAAGAGGCAGGATGTAGAGATAGAAGTGTGGTTGTGCATGCTGTGGCTCTGAAGTAATGAGAGTAGTTGTACTTGGTAGATGATGATGTGACCGGTTTTGTTGTGTGTTTTTCTCAATCAGAATTTTATTTCTTTTTTTGTCTTTTTGTCTTTTTCCATGTCCGGCAACGGATTGCAACCCTCAGTGTTGCCCCCGTACCGGACCGGGGACCAGCAACGGGATCGCAACCCTCCGCGTTGCCCCCGCGCCTCACTCAGCCAGTGAGCGGGAACCGGTCTGTATGTGGGATCCGAACCCTCGGGCGGGAGCGCCGCCGCGCTTCCCAAGCGGCGCACTTATCCAGTGCGCCACCGGGCCGGCCCCAGAATTTTATTTCTATGATAATGATCAAAGAAGACATAGGAATATGGGTGGTGTTTACATTTTAAGTAATAGAGTAGTTTTCATAAGCGTAAATATTTTTTAAAAGAAAAATGTCAGTGTTATCCACCGGGCCGGCCCCAGAATTTTATTTCTATGATAATGATCAAAGAAGACATAGGAATATGAGTGGTGTTTACATTTTAAGTAATAGAGTAGTTTTCATAAGCGTAAATATTTTTTAAAAGAAAAATGTCAGTGTTATTTTTTTTATAAATTATCTCTGCTTTCAAAAATGGATTAATATAGATGGAATTATGAATTTTAGAATTAGAAAAAAACTAAAAATGACCTAATTCAATATCCTAATTTATGTTTGGGCCCTCCCTGACCTCCCAGTATGTTTTACAGTGGATGCTCAGCAACTGGTTTGGTTTAGAGATTTATTTTATCAAATTCAGTTTTATTATACCATAGTAACTCATGCACTCAGGTTTAAAAACTTCAGTGCCATGAATTACACTAATTCATAGATAAATTCAGTAGTATTGGTACTACTAGTCCTTAGCCCCACCTCTCCTTATCCCCCAGTCCTGCTGCTCGGACTGCCACTTTCATGTCTCCTACCTGTGTCTTCTGGGAATTAGGTTTTCTCACTTACATCTCATAGTTAAGGGTGTGGAGTGCATTTGTCATCCAGCCTTCTGAGATCAATGTTTATCCTATGAAGTGGGACAGAAACGAGTTTGATCTCTAGAAATAAGTGTTATCTACACAGAGAGACTTCTATAAAAAGAAGAAAAGGTGGCCCTGGAAGCCACAGATATGTATGCTAAATTATATTTAATATACTGAAAAATACTGGAAAAAAGTCAACCTCAAATCAACAAATAATTTTCACAGTTTTTGTCTTTTATGTATTAGTTTGGTTCTGAAAACATGTGAAGCTGGCAGTTTTATATAGAATATATTTTTCCACTCAACTGCATTATAACCTCAGTGTTCAATTCCTAAAGAAAAGATTCTAGTCTAAAAGTCTTTTGAAAATCCCACTTACCCAGAATATTCACTGAGAGGCATTTTACTGACAGATGGGCAGTCAATCCATGTGACGTCTTTAGAAGTATACAAGTTAAAGTAGTCCACAGATAAGTTATTTTCACTATTTTGGATCTTTTCAGAAACTCCTGGGACTTGACTAAGTAACAGCAGTTGACCATATCAAATGTCAACCAAAGCTTACTCGCTGGAAGAGCTACTTGCAAATGGTCTCCCAAACAGCACTTAGTTCACTAGTGCCCCCATAATATATCAATTAAAGAAAATCTTTCATCCAAATGGGATAGTATAAGGGTGATCTTTCTTTTTGGTAAGGGAAGAATTTAGGTAATTTTACCAAGATTTCATAATTCCTGAAGTGGAACTCAGGATCAGTCAAGATCCAAATGCTGTTCTGGTTTAACAGTTATGACTTGATTTTTTTTTTCCCTTAAGCGAAGAACATATAGCTATTTTTAGTCCTTTTTTAAAATGGACTTTATATAATTAGCTACATGTGGGAAAAGGTTGAGCGGTTGCTAGTTATAAAGCCTTTGGTTATATACAAGTGAATAGAGCCAATTTTATACAATAGGCTCAACATGTGGTACTTAGATTATTATTATTTAACTTTTGGCATTAGTATGTTAAGGAATCGAGCCTAAGTAATTAGAAGTAGGTATATTAATGGCTTTTGCTACCTTGTGAAAAAGGAAAATTCTAATGACTAAGATTCCGGTGAAAAATGATGAGTTTTTAATTTTTGTGTTGGTTGCTAAGCCAATTTTCTTAGGAATATGATTTCATGCTTCAGATGGGTCCGTCCGCTTGTCATTATGTGGTTTTAGGCTATACTACTAAGGTTATTTAGAAATCTGATCCTTCTTGGTAATTGATGTCTAGGGCACATGTCCTTTCTGAAAGAAAGCCAACATTATGATCTTTATATTCAAAATATCAATTTTTAAAGAAAAAAATGAAGGCCAGAAAAATTTTACTTTGAAAATTGTTACCTGCTCTATTAGTGGATAATAAATCAATTGAGGTTGTAATGTAAAATCTAAAGAACTTTTAGAAATTATTTAGGAAAAAGATGTATGGGTTTTATCATCTTTCAAAATCCTTTTCCTAAAAATTATTAGTACTCATTAGGCATAACATAAACAGTGTGTTTTATTTAAAATGGGTGTGCATCGATTCCATCATGTAAACAAAGATTAAGGTAGCTTTCATACATTTATCTTTGAGGTCACTTGCTCTGGCAATACTGTTTGGTGAGCATGCACTTTTATAAAACGAGAATCTAAGGTGTGAGTTTATTGTTGAATCATAAGCAACAATTAAAATAAATTTCTCTATTTGATATTAACAAATGAAGTGTAAGAATTTTTATAACCTGCCGTGGTCTAATTATATTCACTTATTGTTGTTATACCATACTGCAAAAACCTTAAGCTCACATGGATGTTCTATGTTTTTAAGTGTGAAGGGTGATTCAGTTTTCAAATACGGCACCACAATGAAAGTAATACTTTGATTATTTACCAAAATTTAAGAAACACTTAGAGTAAAGTCTTCTGTTTGTGTCTCCAAATGAGTTTTTAAAAATATTTGGTTTCAAAATTTTTTGTCTGTTTTTAGTGTTGTTCTTTATCATTTCTGCCATATACAATTTGGGATAAAACAAAATAGTTCAGTCATTTACTAAACTAATATTTTTTTTTTTTTTTAAATTTTTTATTTTGTCAATATACAATGTATATGATTATTATGGCCCACCACCGACACTTCCCGCCCTCCTCCCTCTCTCCCCTCCCCCCCAAGAATGTCCTTTCCGTTTGTTTGTTGTAACAACTACAAAAAAAGTATAGTTGTTATATCTTCTTCCCCACCCCACACCCCCCGGTTTTTTTTTTTGTGTGTGTGCGTGTGTGTGTGTGTGTGTTTGTGGGTAAATTAATTTGTTTAGTTGTCCTGTGCTGATTGAGGGGCGGATCAGCTGACCTTACTGTGTC